CATGTTCCAACAATGCTATGAGGCTAGAGTTTGAGTGCAGCTCATGTCAGTTTGCATTTCTGCATAATTTTCTGTCCTGTCTATACTATCAATATCAATAAAATGGCAGAAAGACCAAAAAAGAGAATGCGCTGAGGTTTGGCAAGGCTGTGGCTGAACATTGTGTTATGAGGCTCATGCGGTGTGAGTTTAGCTCGCATGCTAATACATAATAACTTTAGATTTTTACCTCTGATTATGGCATTTAGGCTTCAGAACTCCTATAAGTTGTGTTCTTGATTAACATAATGAACAAAACGTGTAAGAATCCTTAACTGTTGTTGGCCACAGAGCTTCTTTTCTGCAATAAATTCAAAAGCCAGTGGAAAAATCCTAATGGGGTTTAGTCAAGGGAACAGGGCGATGCTAAATTACAGGTTGGCCTACACTATGTCATCCCTGGTCCTCACTGCAGAACACAAGATCCAGAGGGCGTAGTTGGATCCAGATCCAGCTCCTCCCACCTTACATATACCTGAACCTACCAATCTCCACCCCCTAGATGTGGATCCAGCCACGCCCCCTGGATCTTGTGTTCTGCAGTGAGGTGCTACTGCATCCCTGCAGCACTTATTTATGCAGTGGATGTGAATTTTCACATAAATTCCTATTTTTGCATAATGTCTCGTCTTCTACATACTATTAATAACAAATTAAGGTGACAAGAGAAAAGTAAAAGTACATGAGACCAAGACGTGGCTTAGCATTTAGCATATATGTTAATGACTGAAATGCGAATATGAGCCCATATCATTTCATGTTTACACATAATTCCTGTCATCTTTATACTGTCATTATCGATTAAAGGAGAAAAGTAAAAAAAAAAAGTGGATGCTGTAAGATTTGTTGGAGCTGTGGTTAACATGTTCACATAAATCCAAAATCATGTAGGCCTATTGCCAGAGTAAGTATTATATTTAAAAAAGAACTTACTTCACATCTGTTATAAAAGTATGTTCTGTACAGTTTGTTCAGTTCAAAGGGCACTATGAAGGGCATAGGGAATAAGGGAACACTGATACATCACTTCACAGGAATTGGATAGGGAAATTGAACCACTCGTTGCACATCACTCCAGTATTTAATATAAGAAATATGTTGAATACATTGAAACTATCACAATTATGGATAAGCAAAAACACAAATAAGACAATTTATAGAAAATACCATTATATGAATACACATGGGTGTATTATATACACACATATATTGCATCACAGATCATGTATTATTAATTTACAGAAGTTTTGTGTCATCATATCTACTTAAACTTCTCTAATAGGTTTGACTCAAGTCTCATCTGTGTTTGATGATGTTACAGGGTGTTCCAAATGAATAAATTATGTCAATTGAAGTGAACTTCAGTAGATATCCCTTACTCACTGAATAGGAAGCAGTGGACATTGTATAGGGAGCCTGTGAATTGAACTTATTGTGTTAAAAATATGTAATCATGTAATCAAAAACGTAACTGTAGTCTGATTACAAGTATTTAAAAATAACAAATAGTATAAATACAAGTACTTAATTTTTGCAATCTGATTACATAATCCAGATTACATGTAATCAGTTACTACCCAGCACTGATGATTATTATTATACCATGATTACACCTGTTCAAAATCTCTTTGTTGTTCCTGAAGCAATTTTTTAAACCTTCAATTGTTCATAATACTTGTTCTCTATTCAAAACCCTTAACTAAAATGAAAGGGAAATATAATGTGATATATAAAAAGCATTTTACCTCATTCCCTAACCCTAACCTCAAAATCGTATTGGTTAATAGAATGTTGCTCTAGGACCAACAAAAACATTTTTGAGAGCATGTTGTATTTGGCGAAATTACAGGAAGCATTGGAAAGTGGTGAAAAGGCTGAATAAGTGAATGTTTGGAAGACAGCGGCCGTGTGATATTTAGGTACAGAAATTGTGACAGGAAAACAAAGCGTTTCTAAATGTTCCTAGTTGTTAGCTGGTAAAAATATCCACACTCTTCTCTTTCCCACTTTTTCACATTGTGAGGCATGGAAACGAAAGGCAATTAAACTCATTTGCATGTGTTAATATGATTAATTAGTGAGTATAAACACTTTTTCCATGACAGAAGCAGCATAGCAATTCATACACCTGCAAACTTTTTCTGATAGAGGATAATGCCTGTTGACTAAGAAGCTTTTTTTTCTTCCCTCAGACCCTCTAATTGGCATGTGAATATGCGTGGTTAATTAGGAATATGCAGATGAAGCTTGATTGGTTTGAATGCAGTGTAAGTTGTGGCACGGTGGGATTCAAATTGTGCCGAGGTTTTGATTTCCTTATCAAGATATGAAGATAATTGCAATTGTGATCATTTGCATACGGTAATGAATTTGCCTGATGCGTTTCAATCGAATGTGAAATAAATAATTGATGCAGTATCAGCACCTACACCGACATCAGGGATGCTTTTTTTATAACTAAGAGCATTAAGGTGCCATTTTTGGAGCTGATTTAAAGAACGTATCGTCACATCTTTCCTACAAGTCCTTATTAATTTCATGGTGCTTTTTGCTGCCGTGTATGAGACATTAAATGAATGCATATAAAACAAGAAGTTAATGCAGAGTGGGTTTTCTCTTAAAACAAATATACATTAAAAAGTAATAAGATAACTACAAACATTTGGTTTGTAATTTATTGGTTATCAACTTTTTATCATTTAATTGCAAAAACTCCTGAAAAAAAATGTCAAATACTTACATTTCACATTAAAATAACATAAATGTGTCATTAAGACCAATACAGGGTACAAACTGAAGGGAAAAAAACTGAAAAAAATGTCATATATATATATATTTTTTTTTTTTTTTTTGGAAATTTAAATTTCTTTTTTAAAAATATCCACACTCTTCTCTTTCCCACTTTTTCACATTGTGAGGCATGGAAACGAAAGGCAATTAAACTCATTTGCATGTGTTAATATGATTAATTAGTGAGTATAAACACTTTTTCCATGACAGAAGCAGCATAGCAATTCATACACCTGCAAACTTTTTCTGATAGAGGATAATGCCTGTTGACTAAGAAGCTTTTTTTTCTTCCCTCAGACCCTCTAATTGGCATGTGAATATGCGTGGTTAATTAGGAATATGCAGATGAAGCTTGATTGGTTTGAATGCAGTGTAAGTTGTGGCACGGTGGGATTCAAATTGTGCCGAGGTTTTGATTTCCTTATCAAGATATGAAGATAATTGCAATTGTGATCATTTGCATACGGTAATGAATTTGCCTGATGCGTTTCAATCGAATGTGAAATAAATAATTGATGCAGTATCAGCACCTACACCGACATCAGGGATGCTTTTTTTATAACTAAGAGCATTAAGGTGCCATTTTTGGAGCTGATTTAAAGAACGTATCGTCACATCTTTCCTACAAGTCCTTATGAATTTCATGGTGCTTTTTGCTGCCGTGTATGAGACATTAAATGAATGCATATAAAACAAGAAGTTAATGCAGAGTGGGTTTTCTCTTAAAACAAATATGCATTAAAAAGTAATAAGATAACTACAAACATTTGGTTTGTAATTTATTGGTTATCAACTTTTTATCATTTAATTGCAAAAACTCCTGAAAAAAAATAATGTCAAATACTTACATTTCACATTAAAATAACATAAATGTGTCATTAAGACCAATACAGGGTACAAACTGAAGGAAAAAAAACTGAAAAAAATGTCATATATATATATATATATTTTTTTTTTGTGGAAATGTCAATTACTTGTCTCTAAAGTTAAAAGAAGAGCAATTTCTCACTAGTTTAGAGGCGGCTTACTCGAGGGCAGGAGGTTGTGGGAAGGGAAACGGGGTGAAAGAGTTGTGCGGTGTACTTTAATTGCGACATGGTAAACATTTAATGTGTGTGATTGTTTTGAGGCAGCGAACGGAAAGGAGCGACTGCCTCTTAATTAACTAGGTTGCAGATTAGTCCTTATTAAATTCAAACACGGGATCAGAGCAGAGTTCAGTCTCCCCAGTGCAATAGCAGCACAGATACGGCACTCACAATGAACTTACACACTCCACGCTCACATTTAATTGCTTCTGTAATGGTCCGAGCTCAAGCCCTATTCATACTAACCCTTTGGGTAATCAGGTTTGCACCGCTGAGAGCAAAGCTAATAACTAGCAGAAAAACAGTAATAAACAATGAACAGTGAAATCTGGATGGCAAAAAGGGACAACAAATTAATTCTTGGCGGCTGGGTTGTTGTATTTCCCATTTATTGGATAATTGCACCTTAAATAGACATCACATGTTGAGCAGATAATTCAACCGTTACAGAGAGTACTGGTATACAAACATATTTACAATTCTACACCCTGAACGATGCCCAAAAGATGTACGAAGATATTCTGTTTTTGACGTTAGTCAACATGAAATCAAAACCAACCCCCATTTACTTTCTAAATGCACTTTTCTGGTGTTAAAATGCGTCACATTTACTTCTTGGTGCAAATTTGTGGGCGAAATCCAGTTGTTTGGCAACTAACCCTTTGCAAAACCCACCTTAGTTACTGTTGCTATGTCCGACCCACTCAAGAGAAAACTGACATTGCACTGCCAGACAAGACAGAGCAGTTACTTCTGGTATGAAACAAGGTCTCAGCTTTCAAATTTTGTCATTTTTTTAAAGAAATTAAAACAATAAATACCATTTTGTGTCTCTTTAGTGTGTTGCAAGAGATCACTGTATTGCCTCATGAAAAGACGATCAGTTCACGTGCCGCTTGAACTATTTATTTAAGGCATGAAATAAACATGAATGAACATCAGAGCGTATTTTATTTCAACCGTGGAAAAAGACGTCAATACACACCATTATTCAAATTTGAGTCCACCGAAGTTAATCTACTCTCCTGGGCTGCGTTTCCCAAAAGCATCATAAGTCTAAGTAGCTCCATTGGTTTCAATGGGTCTATGGTGTACTTAAACTTACGATGCTTTTGGGAAACGCAGCCCTGTCTGATATGTTTGACAGACAAGATGGCAGATTCTGCATCATGATTGGTCAGATCGCTTGTGAATCAAGCTCTTTGCAAAGGGTCAATAGGATACAACTCTGCATGAGGTTGAAATTGTTTCTACAAAGACTTCGCTCATGTTCGAATTGGTCACGCAAATTCACCGCTATTGGAAATGGTTTGAAAGGGATTCAAGTGTGAGCTGTGCTTAATACACTGCTACAGTATTGAGAAGACATTTTTTTTACAGCAAAACTGCTGAAATTTGTTGTGACCTGCACCTTTAGTGTGCATGATTTATCAGTGCACATTATTTTTTTTAAAAAGTCATAAAAATTCAACAAAATGTAATAACTTTCACCATTTTCGCCTGACATCACCAGTCTCTCTTATGTAATGGCCACTTTTCAAGTTCCAAACAATTCTTGATGCATTTGTTCATGATTAAATATCCTTTTTAAATCGGATATATGTCAACAACGGGTTGTCAATGCAGTTTCATCTTGCCTCGAAAAAGCATGCATTGCTTTTTCAGATGAAGCCTTCTCTCTTGAGGTTAGATGTAAGAGAGGCAGGATATCCTGTGAGAAAATAGAAGTCACTTCTGTTTTCAGGGGGCGAGAACGCCACAATGAGAGATACTGCAGAATCCACCACAGTTTGATATGAAGTCAGATATAAAGAAATGCTTCCATCGCTCTCAGCCCAAACTCCTTCTCCCACTTTTTCATTTAAGACTGTAAAAACGTAAGTGCATCAAAGGAGGAGTGTCTGGAGGATGTCAGGAGCTGTGATGAGAAAGACACTGGAGGGTAAACCAAATATAGACTAAAGAATAGGAAGGGACGAAGAAGACGGGGAGTCCTTCAGCAAACCTACAAGACACAAGACTGGTTAAACTGCATGTTTATGCTCTTTGAAAACACTTTAGTTAGGGACTGCAGACAAAGACCAAACTCACATTGTTATATGACCTTAAAGAGTAAAACAGAGTAAAACTCACTTTCTGGTCCGGTAGCACCGGGTTGCTCTGCAGGTGAGTATTAAGGAGTGCAGCTCCTGGCCGGTCATGTTCACAAAATATGGTGCCATTTACATAGTGGAATCGGTCACCGGGGACCAACTGGTTTCTGCACGTTGCACAGGAGAAGCACTGGAACAGAAAAGAGAGAATAGAGTAAATTTGACCCTGCGGAGTGTTGTAAGTGCTGCATTATTAGCCATGTGTTTTATTAAAATATGCAGAGCTGCTAGTCAGGGCCTAACTGCCTCATCTCAGTGCTTAAAATAATTTTTTATTGAGTTAATCCTCATGCAACCAAGGTCAGTTTCTTTGTAAAAGAACACGACTGAACAAGGTTAGCATTAGGAGAACATTATTATGAGAAGCTGTAAGATATCTAGGCTTGGCCCAGAAAAATAAATACTGTAATAGGACAAATAAATAAATAAAGATTCACATGTTTAATTCAGCTCTAATGAACATCTGCTATTTAGAAACCCATTAAATATAGCACTCAAGTTAAAGGGAAGCACAGCCAAAAAAATGACAAATCTACCATTTGCCTCATGTCGTCCAAACCTGTATGACTCAACAAATGAAACTCAAAGGTGTCCAATGTCATTTTGGATTGATTTTTATTGCATGGACAAAAACATTCTTCAAAACATCTTTTTGTGTTTCAAGAAGAAAGTCAGTCATACAGGTTTGGAAAGACACAAAAGGTAAGCAAATGACTTTTTTAATACAGGTTTGGAAAGACATGACGGTGAGTATTTGTTTATTTTGGGGTGAACTTTTACGATGCTGTCATAGTTGTGCTTCACATAACCAACCTTGAGGTGGTAGACGTTGCCCTGTGCCCGCATGACCATTTCACTGGCTGGAATGGACTGACCACATGCACTGCAAGCCCCCGTGTGCCCAAACAACCTGGAAAGCACAGAAAACACAAATGAAGTAGAAGAAACATGTTGTAGAACCTGGTTTTGCTTTATTGCAGGAGAACAGCTATGACTTCAGCAGTCCCAACTCCCACAGAGTTGACACAACAGGCTTAACATCAAATGATGCCGTGTGATGCATCTAAGACAGCATGCTCTGATGTTCTCTGTGGGAGCGTGTGAGAATGCATCTGCAGAGATCATCAGCACTCGGTGGATGCAAAGGAGTCCAATGCAAATCAACACAAGAACAAAATGCCTGTCAGCATAGCATGACAACTACAGCTTCAGACAACTTTGGCTAGGCTATTTGAATTGCAAATGACTGTGGAGACTCTTGCCTCAAACAGTTTCATTATCGACTTGCGTCTTTGTCATAATAGTTAAGATTTCGGATGTGGTCACTACTAAATGTGGAGGTGAAAAAAACATGGCTCTAGGAGTTAAAAGCCTTTTTCACATTCATTACTAGTTGTTAAATCTAACTCATGTCATGCATGGTATTTTAAGAGCGTAAGATGAGTTTTTCCGTTTGTAATTTGCTCCTACATTTTGTAGACTACCTGAACAATTTATGGTTCACTGAGCAATTAAATTATTTCTTAAAATATGTAAGTGACACCAAACAGCACCTGATTAGTGAAATTAAGTGCGTAGAAGTTATATTAGTGCAGTAAAAAATTAAGAGGGCAAACGAAATATGCAAAAATGGTTGTAAGTTATGATTATTTTATGTTGTTTTCTATATTTTCAACCCTGTTACTAAAATAAGATGGAGTTTAAACAATTTAAAATCTTGCTTTTTTGTGTTTTTAGCTATAAACATTAAAACGCATCAAATTTTAGCAAATGATACAATGAAACAGACTTATCCTATTAAAAATAAAAATCGGTAAAATGTAAACAGGGTTACAAGTATCAGGGTTGAAAATTTAGATTGAATCAAGCCATAACTCAGTAGGAACAGCTAGTCTGGGACCAAATGCTGGTTTGTAGTAACCGATAAACCTATAAATCACATTTAACTGATCCTAAATTAAAAAACAAAAACTTGGGTAACAGGGTGGAAAGGTTATGCTCAATACAATGTTTTAGAAAAGGTCCAAATGATGTTACTCCCTGGGTGACACAATTTTAGAAATTATTATTATTTGTAAAGGGGAAAAATTAGAGTAACTGGGTTTAGACTACTTTTTTATATACATTTTCCCCATTTTAGTGATTAAAATTAGTTAAAGAGTTTTACTACAATGAGTTGAAGATCAGTTCAACAGATTATGTTAATATGATAAATTGCTAGATGTGGTTGAGAAGGTCATGACCTCTGAGCTAAGAGGGGTCATAGAGAAATACGGTTTCAAAACAAGCTAATTATCATGCTCGATTAATTTGGTCATCTAATATCAGTTGATCAAATACATCTACTGTAACACTCCTCACAACGAATCTAAATGTCTCCGGTTCTTTGGCGTTGGAGTGTGCGTCTGACCTGATGTAGTCTGTTCTGCAGAGGATCATGCCTCCTTTGCTGTAGCAGGTGGTCCCGATCTCTCCCAGCTGAGCCTGACAGCACGAGCACTTGAGGCAGCGTGTGTGCCAGTAGCGCTCCATGGAGAAGAGCAGGAAACGGTCAGCGATGTGACCCCCACAGCCCGCGCACGACCTGGATGCACACGCGCCGCCGGTAACCTGGCTGTTCACCATAGCTACAGCTGCAAGGAGGCAAATGAGAAAACCAGCTGTGTGAACTTAATCTAACCATGTATGACACACTATGTATAATGTACAATTCTTTCTATAATAGATGTAACAGTACAGCAGTCACAGTGCAATGAAGAGGACATGGCTCTCCCAGTTTAAAACAGTGGTTCTTAAACTTTTCAGTACCTCAGATAAATGCAACCAAATAAACAAGTCATCAAGTGCATCCTAAACTACAGTGATGCAAAGATATTGGTAAACATTGAGATATACAAGATACATAAAGTAAAGGTGCCAAAGTAAAGATCGAACACGAATAAAGTTCATGATTCATCACGTTTTTTCGATATTTAAGTAAAGCTTGGATATTAAACAAAATGTCTAATTTAACATCCTACGCATCTAAAAACCCAATATGAGGTCTTGTGATAAAACAGTCAATATTTTCCATAAGCAAGCAATAAAAAAAACCTCAACAAGCAGACAAGGTCCAGAAGAAACCGTACTTAACACAGTTTTTTTAAACACTTCATTGTTTTATATTATTTCCACTACAATGCCACTTAGTGTAAGAATACCAAAAAATCTTGTCAGGCAAAGAAGAATCACTAAAACGACTCCAAAAAACTAATTAACTGTAATTCTGAAATCTTTACCCTTTAAACCACTAGGTTTAGTATGATCACTTTCTCCTATACACGGTAACAATAAGTATTCGGTTTAATTTTTGCACAACCACATCTGTTACGCATAAAGACATTATTTCACCCCTATTTTGAAATGCTAGCTTCACAAAAGTTATTTGAAACATTAAAATAGATACTTTAATTGCATGTAATATGCTTTCTATGTATATAAAATTCACTTTTGTACATATATATTTTTTTTCTTGGGGTGAACTATCCCTTTAAGGACAAACTCACATGCAACTAAAGTTGAAGAACTCGTTTTGAAAATGCAGACGCAAACGATTCTTTTGAGCTGTTCGTTTCCAAGAATCGGTTTAAAAATCCAATCCAGTGATTCTTTTACATTTGTTTTAAAAGGACTTCGATCGGGGTAAAAAAAATAAAAAATTTTGAGAACCACTGTTTTAAGTGGTTCTCAAACTTTTTTACCCCAATCGATGTCCTCCTATATAACAATATAACATTAGCATAGCTATAAAACAACTAAAAACATATGTAAAACAATAGTATCAAAAACAGTTTGTTCTTCCATAAAATTGTGTTATGGTCAAAAAAAAATTAAAATTAAAATTTACATTTTTAAAAAGTTAAGAATGTTTTATTAATATGTTTTAGTATATATATGAATATGAATATTAATATTGTTTTAACATAATATTTATTAATATGTTTTAGTATATATATGAATATGAATATTAATATTGTTTTAACATAATATTTATTAATATGTTTTAGTATATATATGAATATGAATATTAATATTGTTTTAACATAATATTTATTAATATGTTTTAGTATATATATGAATATGAATATTAATATTGTTTTAACATAATATTTATTAATATGTTTTAGTATATATATGAATATGAATATTAATATTGTTTTAACATAATATTATATAGGGCCTAGCTATAATGATACTCATTTAAATAATCCAGGGGCCACCTTAGATGTTCGCTGCGATTAATCTTTACTAAGAGTATTTATTAATAAGGGTGTTTACTGTAATTTCATGCGTCCTGGTTGCAGTCGTGAATCAGGTCATAAAAACATAAACCAAATATAATGATATTATATTATATTATATATTTCCAGGATGTTTTGTTTGTAATTTTTCTGCTATCAAAGTAGCTGACCTGACGCCCCATCAATCATCATCAGCTCACTCAACAGTTTTCGATTCACTAATAAGATTCAAAAGCTCACAAACAGATAGAGCCACATAATCTGAATTCATAATCTCAACAAGAGAGTGATTTACATTGTATTGACACTTGTAAAATCACCTTAAATTGTTGTTGGTGACACTAGAGGTCAGTGTTGTAGAGTAATCTAAAGCAGACGAACCGAGGACTGTAGATGCAGCCGTCATCTGCAAAAACATTATTTCAGCATTTTACACTTTTTTCCTTTTTTTTTTCTCCTTCCTACTGCTCCACCAAGCCTTAATGGATCCAAGTTTGATATGATATTAATGATGTTTTTCCTGTTTAAGTATCAATATGCACATTGTCGCTAACTAACCTAAAGGTGCAGGTTTTATTTATTGTTGTGAAAGTTAAATGCATGTGTGCTAGCCTTTAACCCTGTGGCCTTCTGTTGTGGTTTTGGACATACTTCCAGTTCCTCTGTCGGATCCGTGTTGAACCTCACATCTCGCTGTCAACCTGCAGCAGACCTGGATCATCCTGGCCTTCCTCTTTCATTCACTCTCTGCAGCTGGAGCTTCCCACTGGACTGAACAGAAATGATGCACCACAGATTCTCCTGTGTTATTCCAGTGAACAAAAATGTCATATTTAACTGTGTACCCAAGCAGTGTTTTTTAAAGCATTATTTATATACTATTATATTTATAATATATAAAAAATATGTCATATATTTATCATTTATGAAATATTTAATTTTTTTTAGTTTTAATTTCAGTCTTTATTTTAATTGAAGTATTCGTAAGTTTCTTACTTTTTGAAACATTTCTATTTAGCTTAAATTTTTCCCAGCTTTAGTTTTAGTGTTTGTAGTTCTTCAACGTCATTTTATTTAGCCTAGTTTATTCAGCAGTTCAGCCAAGACATTTTTACCCCAAGTTTTTTAAGTTTGAGTTTTTTCGTGTAATATTTATATTCCGATTTTAGTGCAGCTTTATTTCAATTAATAAAAACAATTATATAAATAGTTTTAGCTATTAATAACAACACTGACCCAAGTTTTGTCTGCCCTATATTTTGCCATAAGCATTTTTATGTTTTAAATGGAACATTCTTTAAAAATACAATAGGGTGACACCCTGTTGTAAATATAAAATAAATGTAACATACAGATATCATAAACCATGTAATTTGACCACCTGGGGTGAACAAACAACACTTTCTGAAGGTTAAGCTCTTAAAGATTCATCTGCTATTTTGTTACCTATTCATGGAAATTGTCTGCTAATGTATGATTCCATTACTGTGTCACATGACACTTTAGTTTAAACCCAAAGCTCCATACATTGCTGTTTTATACTATTGTATGGAGTCTTTTCTCTTTGTTGGGTGATTGTTGTTGTCAAGGGACACGTCTTAAAGTTTACAAAGGCAGCCCGCACACAACTGAACTAACAATTGCTCCGACTTGGCAAACAAGTTGTCTTTTGGGGATCTGTGAGGCCCATATAGAGCAAACAGCTCAGAAACTGGCACATTTTTACATCAGTGATGACGTTAACTTGTCCCTGGCAATGGCAAGCAGTTCTATGAACCTTCTTTAACTTTCATTTTATAACATACTTAACAAAAATCATTGTCCATATATCCTTGAAGGCAACTTTACATTTTTTAGACCAGTGATAGACTACTGATGTTTCTTGAAGTATTTTGCATGGCTGATGTGGCTGCCTCATTACAGTACATACTGACTTCTAACTAAGCAAGCATTTTCAGACTTACTGTGGTTGAAGTTTGGGTTTTAGTGATCTTCTAAACCGCATAAAGAGCTGATCAAGTGTTATATGTATATATGGAGGAAGAACAGATTGGCAGGGGAGAGTGTGGAATTTGAGAGCCGACTGTGATGTTTGTACTGCAAAGCCAAGAAATTGTGCTGGGACCTCAATTGCCAGTCATTCTCTCTGTCTCTTTCTCGCAGATGCATACATAAAGTGCAAGTTTAAAGGGATAGTCCAAAAAAAAAAAAAGGAAAGTCCTGTTTTTATTTACTCCAGACGTGTTAGTCTGAAAAAATGTTCACATTGTTGAATTAAAAAAAACAAAACATAAAAAAGCAATGAAACCGTATAAGAAATTCAAGCTGTGATTCACTGAAAACCTTGCTCTGCAACAACATGCTACAACATGCTAAAAGCCTATTAAAATTAGCAGTGTGTTGAAAAACTGGCTAAAACATGCTAGCAACATGCTAAGATAGCCTATGTGAAGAACATGCTAGCAGTGTGCTAACAACTTGCTAGAAGCCTAAAGTTAACTGTTAAAAACGTTTGACATGCTAGCAATGTGCTAAAATCCCTTATGAAAATTAACCATGGTTTTACTACAAACAAAACAACATGGTTAGCCTACTACGAATTAACCATAATTTTTCCACACTAACCATGGTATTTATTTTGCTAATGTATGTGACTTATGTTTTTGTCTAATTTTCACAGACAAAATCCAGTCATTTCAATAGGAATCCACGCAATCATGAATTACACATGAGGGTGAAAGAGTTCAAAGCAGATTTCATAAGTTCAAGTGGGTCATGCGGATTTGACTTGAAAAAGACTTGTGACTTGTGTGCGCTGTTCTACGTATCACTACACTATTAAAAGTAGATAGAGCTTTCTTTGCCAATTTCATTGGACATGTTGTAAAACACATTAACTCATGCTAATAACACAAAATACATGTTAAATTGCCTTACAACACTTCTTAACAAATACTGTTGGAAACGTGCTAGAAATGTGCAATTTCTTAGTAGTGATTTTATGAAGCCTAATTGGGTCTGAAGAGGTATATTGGGGTCTGAACTAGTTTGATATGTTTTTTTAATACAATCAAATGTGGCCTGAAGGGGTATGATATGGTCCGTCTGAGATTTCATTTGTTTTCCTGTCTTCATTTGACTTTCTTTCTGTCTTTCTGGTAATGAAACCTAAAAGTCAACATCAAAGTTTGTCATCAGACTTTGCTCAGTATGTTCTTTAATTAAAACAACAGTTATTCAGCGGTGCAGTTTTAAAAAAATGATGTAATTTTAAGTTTTGTTTTTACATTTTAATTAAGTTAATTCAATTTAACATAATGTAAGCCATCCTGCGGCCCCCTTAGAAGTTTTCTTGAGAGCAAAGTTACAAACAACACAAACAAGCATTTGAAAAGGTTTTATTTTTTTGTAACAAACTCGTCAGCGAAGTCATTTATATTCAATATCTTAACTATACAAATAGTCGTTCACTTCGATACAAGAGAGCATCTAGAATTTAAAGGATGCCCCGAAAAATGAAGCAGTCTCAAAGAGTCACTCCACCTATAGTGAAGCCTGTACACGGTACAAAAGACAAAGCAAGTCTCCAGCCATCCGCTCACACTCATCTGTGCTAAAAACACATCTCTACCCTGCTTTCCTCCACACATTAACTCATGAAAATTGCTGTACACCTTAATATACGAGTAAAAACTCAGTGTGAAGAATGGACAGAAAAAAATATTTGAAAAAGTCTTCCTTTTATCCCTTAATCAGGTAATACCTCACTGCCCTCATTACTAGTGCATTCTCTTACCCATCGAGTGACAGGAAGTCATTCATCTGATGCCAAATAAATCCTTCAAGATACAATCAGCACTTCAGATTGAAAAATAACAGAATAAATAAAAGCCGAAAGATGGGCTAACAACAGTTAACAATGCCTTCTGACAAATCCTCAAGAAAAGTGACCTGGACATGTTTTCATGAGAATCAGGGCCTGTAGGTCAAAGCAAAGGAAAAACACATAAAGTGCAAAAACTTTATACAGTCTAGTACAGTTTACTATTCTATAGTTCAGGAAACTCTTTTGGAATGTCCTTTGAGAGTGAAAAGTGAGTTTTAGCCATTATGGAGTGATGGCGCGTTGTGTGTGAGTGTGTGTTCAGTGAGAGAAGGTGTGTATGTCATTGTGAAGGCTGACGGCGGGTGAGGATCGCTCTCTCTGAACCCTGCAGAAGCTCTTATTGCAGTGGCAGCGCTGGATCCACATGACGTTACGCGTGATGTTCTCGCTGTCCGGGCAGCGGAAGCGCAGGCGCACCGTGCGGGATGAGGATGGCTGACAGCACCTGCCGTCCACACACGAGCCACAGGTACGAGGCCGGTAGCGGCGAGCCGTAGAGCAGCCGGCGAACGTGATCTGCTCCGGTTCCCGAGACCTCACCGTTTGCCTGCACGTCTTTCCTTTCTACATGACATAAAAAGCAACAAGAAATCATATATATGAGCGATAAGCTTGAGCCTTTGGCTTCTTCTGGAACAATGTTAATTTAAATATATGAAGCAACTGGCCAAATTTGGCTGAAACACAAGCTACTCAATATTAACTTCTTGTTTATTGAACAGTTGCAACCAGTGTTGGGGAAAGTTACTTTTAAAAAGTAATGTGCTACAATATTGCGTTACTAAAAAAGTAACTAATTGTCCTTGTCACACGTTAGCTACATGTACTTACTATTATAACAATAAATTATGCATAATTGCAAGTAATCCTAACCCTAACCATATAGTAAGTAGATTAGGCTACTCAGTACTTAAATGTATAATTTCACTGTAACAAGGCATCTTAAAATAAAGTGTAACCGTAACTAATTGTGTTACTAAGTTACTTTTTCTGGAAAGTAATGCATTACGCTACCTTTGCGTTACTTTTTGTTACTGGGATTGCTTGTTTGTTTTTTAGTAACAAACAGCCCAAAAGTTATATTTTTGGCAACTGTAAGGACCCTTTCACATGCACCTAAAGTGTAATTAATTAGCCTCAGGCTGCGCATTAATAAGCCTCAGGCTTATCACTCTCAATTTCTTTCAACACGGACAGGAGAGCTGTCAGTGAATAAATGAGAAAACAAAGTAACTTGCATTACTTATTTGAAAAAAAGTACGAAAAAGAAGGACAGCGTACAACTGCTGAGGGGCGGAAACTACACTCTAAAAGATGCTGGGTTGTTTCAACCCAACTTTGGGTCAAATATGAACTAACCCAACTTTTGGGTTAAAAATTTACTGTAAAAATTTAACCCAACGGTTGGGTTAGTCCATATTTGGTTCAAAGTTGGGTTGAAACAACCCAGCATTTTTTAGAGTGTATGGTAATGCAGAGCTGTCAGTCAGCTGCCGTGGGCGGGGCCTAAACAATGTGATGTTCACATTGCTTAGAGAATCAAAACAGCAGGCCTAGTGAGACTGATATGGTAATAAATAGCGGGTGGATTTTTATCATTGTTTGGGTGGTTGTGTTCACACACTGCCAACACACATTTATGTCCAAACACCATGTAAAAGTTGATTTTGCCTAATAGGTGCCCTTTAAAAGTAATGCATTAATTTACTTGAGTTACTTGAAAAAAGATCTGATTATGTAACACATTACTTATAATGCATTACCCCCAACACTGTTTAGATGACATGTACTTGCAAAGTTATTTATAGTTAGTAGAATGTCTAAAGCTGACTATATTGAAATAAAGTGTAACCCACTCATTTCACTGTAGCATCTCACCTTCATAGCTGGAGTGATGTCACACTCTCTGATCTGGCAAAGGCGAGTCTCTCTAACAAGCTTGCACTGGGCATTACTATTGGTCACACGACTCGAGATGCCAAACCCGCAGGAAGCAGAACATCCGGACCAGTCAGTGGTCTGTGGGAAACATTCGGATGATGGGAAGGGAACCCGAGACACTGGCAGGGACGCCCACTCTGCAGAATGAGAAGCCATGACGAACACATTTCACCATGGTGGTTACTGGGTGGTTGTTAGGCAGTTGCATACTGGTCAAAAGAACCCAACCCCAAGTCTCATTTAAAATGATATTTCAAAAACTTGACTAGTTAATGTAATAGCTCATTATAAACAAATGTTCATCTTAACAGCCTTTAAACACCTCACTCATTAATAACAACAATAATAGATACTAAAATAACACTGTCACAATATATAATATAGAAAATATATAATAGGAATACCTTGAAAGGAGCCCCTCCGGGACAGGATGCTGTTAGGGCTCTGTGTGAGTTTGCTGATGTGGTTGGATGGGGTTTGATGGGGACGGGGGTCCGGTGGGTCTTCCCTGATGCTGTTATCATCGTCACACAGCCACTCCTCACAGCAGCGTCCAGGTGGCGTCTCCAGATGCGGGTTGGCGCAGTGTCTGCGGGGCAGAGGGATGTTGTGTGGACACAGCGGCATACAGCCCACCACACCATCCATACAGCTGCACTGGTGCTGACAGCTGGGCTGGAAATCCTCTCCGTGCTGATACACACGGCCAGCAAACTCACACGGACGGCCCTGAGCCTCAGCTGAGACACACAACAAACATCAGGACTGTCAAGAGCCAGAGATGGAGCACTAAAGTGACTATTTAACAAATAACAAATCTAACAAGTAATCTAATCACTTTTGAGTCACACTTTATTTGAATGTATCCTTGTTACAGTGTAATAAGACGAATAAGGTTAGGATTAGGGTTTGGTTTAGTGTTAGATCTTGTACCCAAGCATTATTTACTCTTATTACTATAGTAAATACAAATACATGTAACAAGGACACCTCAAATAAATTGTTACCCATTTTTGGAGTAAAACTTGAAAAGTCCTTGGACTAAAAAATACCTTTGGATTCATACAAATAAAAATAAATACATTTGATCTTATTTTAAACAAACAAATAAATTACTGTTTGGCAACCATATACGGATTATATATTTATATTTTTAGAAAAGTTTTTCTCTACAATGTTTGGCATTAATGTAATGACATATGTATTGGGGACAGTGATTCTTTACTTTTGTTTGTTCATTTGTTTATTTATTTATTCATTTACTCATTCATTCACTACAAATTTTACAACCAAACAGGTCAAATTCCCTGATTATACCATATTTTATAAATAAATTATACATTTCTAAAGTTTATTTGATTATGGTAATTTAATAATATTATATACCATATAATTTCTTATAAATGTACAATAGAGTTACCCTATAGCTGGCAGATAATTAACTAAGTTTATATAAATCAAAATAAATAAACTGTTTCATATTTTTAATTCTTCAAAGAAGTGTCAAATTCATAAAATTTCTCATTTCAAATGCAGTTCTGGCAAATACTACAGATTATAAATTTATAAATATTTTTATATTTTAGAAACATTTTTCTCTACAAATGTTGACATCTTTGCTATTTATTTAGTCACATTTTTAAAACAAACACCTACAGCAATTTTTTAATCTTCTTAGGTCAGTTTGCAGTGGAAATACCCGCATTTTAACACATATTACATAATTTTTTATTCATCTATTATAGAGCAGAAGTTACCCTATAGTTTATCCTTTCTATTTTATAAATGAGGAAGAAGTAAATTAAGAGACTAAGTACATGTAAGTATAAGTATAGACTAAGTATAGACAGTGGTGGCCAAAATTATTAGCGTTAGTGTTAAATTATTAACACTTGGCATATTTAAGAGGTTTCAGTTGTTTTTGTTGAATTGGCCATTACAATACCCATTAAACAAACTACCTGCGATGGAAGGAATCTGCTGAAATATTGAAAATGATGGACTGGCCTCCTCAAAGTCCAGACCTCAACCCCATCGAGCAAATTTGGGGCGAGTTGGAAAATAAACTGGACAGATTTATTGTACATTCAAAGGAAAGCCTTTGGCTTGAGTTTTGTAGAAGCCATGGGATAACATTAGTGTTGAATATACCACGACTGAGGTGCCCTTGAGCAAGGCACCGAAGCCCTAACTGCTCCCAGGGCGCCGCAGCATAAATGGCTGCCCCCTGCTCCGGGTGTGCGTTCATGGTGTGTGTGTTCACTGCTGTGTGTGTGTGCATTAAGGATGGGTTAAATGCAGAGCACTAATTCCTAGTATGGGTCACCATACTTGGCCACATGTCACGTCACTCACACTCACTCACTTGAAGTTCTCAGGAAATATATTGACACTATGCCAGAGAGATGTGCTGCTGTAATTTCTGCAAAAGCTGGACATACCAAATATTAAAGTTAAAAGTGGATAAAAACTGTAGGACTCACTTCATCTGATATTTGTTGTGCTCAGAGCAACCCTCTGCATTTTTCATGAACATTATGAAATTAAATCATGTTTTGGAGGCAAAAAAAGGCCAATATTTTCAGATCTGTCAGGTGTTCTAACCCATTAGCACTCATTATTGTTAGAGCAGATTCGTTTCAGCGGTGTGTTTTTTCTTACCTCTGCAGAGACCACGCCGAGGGTCCCCTCCGGCCCCTAGGTGGCAGCGCAGGCCCTTGATGTGGTCACAGGGTCGGTCAGGGCTGCAGTTCTGGTTGAACTGTTGGGCGCACACCTTACAGCAGCCGCACTCATCCAGCACCCAGCTCACTCCGAGCGGACAGGAGGGTGGAGACGGGGGGCAGGAGCAGGAACGGGAACAGCCTCTGGACGCCTGCAGGAACAGCAGATGAGAGACGAGCACACAGCTTCATTACATAAGGCCAGCAGCCAGAAATGAAAGGCTTTCACTGAGATGACAGTGTAGGAGTTGTCAGGCCAATGTTTTTGTAAGTTTGTATGAGTGGGTTCGGCTGTGTTTATATAATACACTCACTTAGGTGTCTGTGTTTGAAATGGGACTGTAGAATTGAATCATAAATATACACTGTAAGATAAACTTTGCCGTTGTTACCATTAGGAGCTATTTCTACCTGATGTGATCTCCATAAACAAATACTTTCTTGATGCAACCTATGGTCAAAAGGTCATGTTTATAAAATTGAAATATTTAAGTAAAATAAATGTATTTCACACATATTTTTTAATAATTAGTTAGGCTAATAATAATAAGCTGCAATTAAGTGCTCAAAAATACAGTGAAAACTGTAATATTATAAAAAATATTTAATAAATTAAAATAACTGGTGTCTATTTTAATTTATTCAAAAATGTAATTTATTTCTGTGATGTAAAGCTGCATTTTCAGCATCATTACTTCAGTCTTCAGATCGTTCAGAAATCATGCTGATGTGCTGCTCTAAAAACATTTCTGAAAATGTTATGCTGCTTAATATTTTTGTTTAAACTGTGATGCATTTTTTCAATATTCTCTGATACACAGAAAGCTCAAAAGAACAGCATTTATTTCAAATAGAAATATTTTATAACATTATAAATGCCTTTACTGTCACTTTTGATCAATTTAATGCATCCTTGCTGAATAAAAGTATTAATTTCTTGCCTTTCTGACACAAACGTTTTGAACAGTAGTGTATATTTTGATCTTTATATAAATTAAAAATAAATTTAATCACAGAACATTTAGCTGTTACCACATTAAACAATTTTTTTATCTTCATATGTCAAGAAAACAATATCAGTATGCTTCATTAACAGTTATGAGAATAGAATAAATCAGATGACTTGAGCTGAAATCAAACAAACATCTGGTTCCATTGTTTCAAAATGTTTTATGCTCAATAAAGAGAAATTAGCATTAGGAAGTATCTGAGTACAACAACAATAGAATGTTTGTAAGGAAGGAGAAAAACGTAGTCCTGCACAGCCTTCAAACATGAAGAGGCTTCTTCTGCAATGTCTAAGTTACATGTGTGCAACACACTGGCTCAAATCTACTCACCTCTCCTTCAGCTGAACATACAACAAATATCAAGATGGTGCAAATAGCAGCCAGAGTCCTCTGATTCCCTCCAGAACACATTTCCAAACTTTTCAAAAAATGAATCCCAATGTGGAAAAACAAGTAAAAATCCCCCAGTGCAAAAGCAGGTTTATCCACTTTTATTCTAAATGACTCCAAAGACCTCAGAGGGCAAATGTTCCAAAGCTAGTCCAGTTACAAAGTGCATCAGTCAGACTAGTTACTAAACTAAAGCTATAGCAAGACTCAAATGCAGATGCCTTGTCAGAGCATTTCCAAAGAGGCAGGTCACCTTATAGAGCGAGAGAGAGAGCGAGAGAGAGAGAGAGAGAGAGAGAGAGAGCTCGTCTCTGACATCAGCATGGATCGGAGCAGTGGGAGTGTGTCTTCATAATGAGGGGATCCCTTATTATTTTATTATTTGTGTTGCTGGCAGGGGCGGATTTAGTGAATTGGGGGCCCCAGGCAAAATATAGGAATGGAGCACTATACATTTGCACACATTTTCCTAAATCAACCTTGAGGTTCCTTTTTTGTTGTGATGCTTGCTGCTGCACAATGGTGCCCCATAGTTGTGTCCAATGTTTCTACATTTTTCATGTTCATGTTATAATGGCTTTCTTTCATGTTGTATACCACGAAATAGCAACTGATTTACAGTTGAGATACAGGTTTTCCCAAAAACAAAATAAATTATAAAATGATAAACCTCACAATTGAGTCAAGTATAAATTATTATATTAATTTAAAACGTGCTTAATCCGCATATATATGAATAGCATTTTAGGGGGCCCTTGGCTTTTGCGGGCCCAAGACGGTCGCCTACCTTTGCCTAATGGGTAAGTCTGCCCCTGGTTGCTGGAGCTCTAGGGAGCTTTTTGTGAATGCAAAACTGCACAACAAGACTTCCAAAATAAGTAGTGTGGATTACAAATGCCAGTTATATGAAACAAAACCACAGAGACACTTAATACAGAGCTAACAAATGCGCTCAAGCAGGGTGTTCACCTGACCACACGGTTTAATTGGCCGTTTGTTGTGTGTTACGCAAGCCGCCGCCCTGGAGTGCATAAAAACATTGTCATAATAGTGGAACAATTGAGAAGGGAACTCCAGCCGTTTTCCGTTTGGATGAGAAGTCCTGATGCAGATGCAAAGGAAAATCCCCATAAACAACTCAGCTCTCACACACGCTTCCCACTCATGGAACACACGAAACACTTTCTACTATCCTCGCACACCGAGCGCTTCCTGTTGCGCTTTCTCATTTCCTCGAACCGTTTCCTACCAGCGGCCACATTCAGGAAACTCCGGCCGTTCACACAGGTTCCCATGTTTTTGTAGGAAAATCGAAACATTCTCATTGTCATCTTGTAAGGACATGAAAAGTGTTTTCTTTTCAGTTGCAGGAAGAGTTCTCTACTGGGCCTCAGGTTTGTGTTATGAAACCCAGGAAGAGAAACATGGGAAGGGAGTAAGATCTCCAGTGTCTGACCTCCAGAGACTGCTTTCATATAACTCATATAACAACTTTCAGGCAGTCACCATTTGTACTGATTTTTCTTGGAATGACACACCTTATTCAAATTTGAATTTTTATAAAAATATATATTTTTTTTAATCTAAAGTGTTAGGATTAGCCTCCTCAACAATACGATTAAACAGAGAACAAAGACAGGTTTGCAGTAAGTTTTGTGCTTTTCAGTCTTTGAAACAATGTCTCAAACTGTGCTCAGATTTGTCAAGATATTTGTCAAGATTTCAAAATGAACTCAAATATTTTTTTTCAGATTCTTCCGAGAATACATTATCTGAGCAACCCATATGAATTGTACACTTTTAAAACGAAAGACATCTGGTTCCACGAAGAGCATTTAACATCCATGGAACCTTTCCATTACACAAAAGATTCTTTTGCAGAAAAAGTTTTTTTTTTTAAATGTTCTTCACTAGAGAAAAGATGGTTCTTTTAAGAACTGTTCACTGAAAGGTTCTGTGGAAAACCGAATGGCATGAAACCCCCCTTTTGGAACCTTTATTTGTATGCATGTATATCTTTATTATCTTTACCATACATAAACACATAAACACAGTTTTAACAGTTATGACTGTTACCTATCAAATCAATTTGAAATATAAAAGTAGCTGTAAATATGCACGATGTATATCATAATGCAATAAACACAAATGAATAAATTATACAGTTCTGTCCTTTGTATTGTCACAGCAGGCTTTGATGTAATTGCATTTTCATATAGATGAATAGATGATTTATGTAATAAATCTGAGAGGCTGTGATATTTAATCAAGAGTAACAGCAAAATCCTGATATGGCGCTGATATAGCTTTAGACAGTGATACAGCTTTTATGCAACAGTTAATATTAAGTAACTAACATTTTGGACACAGAATGGCCAGTTACTTATATTTTTACTCTGAAATGTTTCCTTCACATATTTCCAAACAAAGTCAAGGCAGAAGCAGACTTTAACATTGCCATGCAACACAGTAATGGTGTTCCTTACTGAACAAATTCTCATTTTTGAATGAATTGGTTGAGTGAATGATACAATGACTCATTCAGTATTTTTTTTTTATTTCTAAATGAATCAAGTGTTTTAAATTAATTGTTTTTCCCATGCTATATAGTAGGGAAGTATGTGATTTCGGGTGCAGTGGTGTACTGTCTGAATAAGTGCTACATTTGAATTTGAACCGTTAAAATAAGTACGTCTATATAATATCCGGACATACTACATCCACCATGTTGTAACTATCACGTGACTTACATGTTACTTCACTACCATTCATAAATGTGCTATGGCCTCATGAGATAGTAAAGTGTCCATTGAATGCACACTTCAGAATCTCACCGGAGGGTCATCTAGGTACTTTTTTACTACTGTTTTTCAAATACTATGAATTCGTACATACTACTCTTTAGGCATACTGTTTGTCGCATACTATATAGTAGGAATGTATTCGATATCAGATGCAGGCCACTCAGACAATCAAATCTGAGGAATACCAAAAATACTGACAAATGCTGACATTATTGTTTTTTAAAAATGTTTAGTACTAACTAAATGACACCACAGGTAAACATTTTAAACCAACAGACAAACCATACTTCCCTGTTTGATTAATCACAGAACATTAAAGGGGTCATGTGATGCGATTTCATTTTTTCCTTTCTCTTTGAAGTGTTACAAGCTCTTGGTGCATAAAGAAGATCTGTAAAGTTGCAAAGACTAAAGTCTCAAATCCAAAGAGATATTCTTTATAAAAGTTAAGAGTCAGCCACACCTCCCTAAAACGGCTCGTTCTAACACGCCCCCACATATCTACCTCACTATGTGGTAAGATTTGCAAATGCCGCCCAAATGTTCACGCAAAGAAAGAAGGAGTAACTTTTATTCTCACTGTAGCATTGTTGCTGCTGCCGCCATGTCCTGAAGACGCTGTGTGCTTCGTTGTGAAAGCGAAACTACTTTGTTTGGTCTTCCAAAAGAGGACGATATCCGCTTCGTCAAGCCTAGAGCTGATCTGTCCTGGTCGCTGAGGAAACACATCAACTTATTGCTGTGGATCGCCGGATCGGCTTTCACCGTTTTCACCGCTCCTTCGCCGGGACCGCCGTTCTCGACCCCGCCGCCTCAGCTCACTCTTGCCCGGCTTCAGCTCACGCTAAGCCGGGGCTTTCGCTTACGCTAGGC